TTATCGTTGTACCCTTCAGGTTGCATCAGCTCTGCCTGTTCGCCATGCGGAGAAGCAAGCGCCACCACAATATATCAGATATACACCCAGTCAACAGAGCTCTTTGCATGCAGGAGGTGCAACTACTGTTTTGATTTGACTTTTTCTGGATTTGAGATCTGTTTTTGCAGGTTCGCAGCAACGAATCATTCGAATGGTCGAGGAGCAAAAAGACCCTATGGAACCACCAAAGTTTAGGTGGGCTGTTATGTTCATACTTTGCTCCTTTATTCTAGAATAAGTATATGAAGTGTCTATCTCTGATGTTGCTGATTTTCCATATTAATGATCAAATCAGTTCAGAATCAATCAAAAAATTCCAAGAGCACCTCCGTCACCGCCGGCACCAGTGATGCACAGCCCTCCGCGGAAGGTAAGGGTTTTGATAGTATGAATTTAGTTTTTCTACAAAAGCAGAGACGCTAAGTGAGTCGTTGCCATCACTGACATTGTCCGAATATTATTGTATCAGCTCGTTTTACTGTCTAGTTGTGGCTTGAAAGAGAATCGAAGCATGGCCATACTCAAAGGAGGCAGCGTCACAATGATCAGCGCATATACCAAATTCATTGCTTAATGTGCCACCTCTCAAGTTCTTTTTCGTAAGAGTAAAAGAAAAACCCATTTTTAAACTGAAATTCTCCATGCTCAGTTCATGGCTTCCTTGAGCTTCATTGAGTAACGGGGAAGAGTAACTACCACACAAATGTCTAGGCTAATTGAAGTCCCAAGTCTTTAGCATGAATCTATTGCAATCGTACCGGTACATCCAGTTAGACGACTTCTAAGCACTAAGCTTAATTTGCGGTTTTCCGAGCAGGATTACGTCGAAGTGTTTGACGCATTAAGCACGAGAACCATTCCTTAAACATAAAATTTCAGGTGACGACGAAAGACCAGAATGACTGGAAAATACCACCATGCATTTCTAACTGGAAAAATCCTAAAGGTTTTTTGGTTGTTGTTATTTTATCTCTAAACAACTCCTCATCATCTTTGTTGCTTCAGTCTTGTTTTGCTTTTTTTCCTTGAATCCGTACATATCTTTGATAGGACTACCTTTTTACGTCTTCTTATCTGCTTGATCCCTTCTCAAAAATTCCTTTTCCATCAAAATCTTTCTCACACTTCAATTTTAAAGGTTTTACCGTGTCACTGGACAAGAGATTGGCAGCTGATGGTCGAGGATTGCAGCAGGTTTGACTTTAAAACATATTTTTAGCCTGTTTTAAATGCAATTTTTCCAGACTCATATCAATGAAGGTTTTGCAAAGTTATCAGAAGCATTGTACATTGCTGACAGGAAAGCAAGAGAATCAGTGGAAGCAAGAGCACAACTTGAAAAGAGAGTGGCTCAACATAAGAAACTTGAACAAGAGGCGCGAATGCGCGAAATGGCAGCCAAAGCCCGACAGGTGCGCAGTCTCAATCTGTTCTGTAAAGTAGTCGTTTCTAGAAATTCGTTCATGGTTTCCTGTTCGTAGAAACTCTATGATTTCAGGAGCGTGCCGGTATAAGAAAGAAGGGTGAGGACGAAGACGAGGCTGTAAAGGCTAGAGAAGAGATCAGGTTTGTTTGAATTTCTCATAAGATTACTGTGCCTTGAAATTGACGCTATATGATGCAATAACGATTTTCAACTTTTAACTTAAGCAGATTTGTGCGCATATGATTCTGAACTTCTTACAATTTAGCAGTTTCTGTTATTGAATAAACTTTCTGCTTTTAAGAGAATCGCTAGCACTTCAAATAACTTTTAGTTCAAAAAATAATTTTATTGCAGACGAGATCGCCTGGATGATATACGCAAAGAGAGGAATATCGCACGAAATCGCCCTGATAAAGTGGACAAACTCATGAGGTTCGTCGTCACTCTGAGATTTCCCT